TTGTAACAAACTGATCAGCGCTAACTTCTTTCTCAACAGATCAGACAAATGGACAGCAATTTAAAATGTGCAAACCAGGAACAATATTGGGAAATGAAGGGAGGGTTCAGATGACTAGGTAATCTGCTCTCCCTTTACTAATGTAAAGGGAGAGAGGCTTACTGAGCTGCTATGTCAGTCTTATACTCCATGCTCCAGAGATGCATGTGAATTATGAAACTCTTAGAGAACTAGGGGCCCAGATTCCACATAACTCGAATACCCATTCCAGAACTGAGAGCACAGAGGGTAGAGAGGAAACACAGAAGTTCATGGAGAAGACATTTTATGTATTTACCAGTGAACCTTCAGTAGGTCATTTCCTTACTCATAGGTTGATTTTCCATGCCATGTTCTTCCTTTCTAGTGTCTCTTTTTTTGATGGCCTAGGATGTGACTTGCCTTGAGGGTATGTTGGCAACGAGGCAGATTTCTTTTTATCGGCTCATTATGGTGATAACACCTACCTTCCCAAAGTCTCCACTGACTGTTACATCGTGAGCTCCATGAGATTGTACTTTGTATGAACATTCTGGAAACTGTATTTCCAACATTTCTTCCTAACCTTCTCATTGTCCAGCACTGCCTGACCAATTGCAGAAGGGTTTTTCTAACTTTTAGTGACTATTAGAGACACAGAGTCCAAAGGATCTTTTATAATAGAGGTTTCTGAGTATTCCACATATGGATTGTCACCTTTAAATTTGAGAGTTACTGGCCATGCTTTCCAGCATTAAAAATAGAAAATTCAGTATTAAAAATAAAAGTAGTGCTGGATGAGTGGCTCAGTGATAAAGCATCTATCTAGCAAATGCAAGGCCCTGAATTTGAACTCTGATACTGCAAAAAAAAGGAGATGTAGAAGAAACTTGTCTTCAGAGAAAAGGAATAATTCAACAGACCCACAGTGATGAAGGAAAGAATGAAGTCCTGATGGTGTCTTAGTCGATCCCAGCACCAGTCCTGTCTTGGGTATCAAGGGTTCAATCACTGTCCCTAACTTAATATTCCTATGTTACAAAGGTTTACTGTGCTAGTTGGAATTGGTTTGTGCTACTTTTGACCAACTGAATCCTGTGTTCTTTCCGAATCTTACAGAAGAAGAATTGTGCCTACTTACATTGGGAGTTGAGAGGGTTTCCATCGGACACTATGTGTTCTAGTTTTTCAGATAGGGTTAAGAGAGACAGAACAAATTTAGACTCTGTGGTTCTACTTTGTGAGTTAAAATACTTAGCTGAATGTGAGCAGCACGGGACATTTGCACTAGAATGGCTGTTTTAGAGATTCTTTTGGACTTCTGGAAAGAGCTGAACTCGTCTCATCCTTCTGGGATATGGTGCATTGAATTGTGTCTCATCTCAGAAGATCTGAATAGCTCCTGTGAATATGACCATTGTTGGGAAATAGTCAGCAGACATATACAAGAAAAGGTTATTAGTATACGCCCCTTCCTATTTATTCCTCAAAAATCTCAGTTTCAATGCTTTGTAAATTGTTTAGTAATTGGAGTGCACCAAATACAAGAATACTTTTTCATTTCTTGGCATGTACTTCTGCTTGCCAGAGTAAACTGTGCATCTTCCTTCATAGCAAGGCACACCTCATGCCTGGCAGTGAGTTCTGAACCAATTGAGATATACCACAAACATGTCAACATATGGAGAAACAAAACTAGCTTTATAGAGTGTGGCTGGTTGGTGGGTACAGCTTGTTGCAGGAGCCAAGTTGACTTGTCAATTCCTTACATGCCCCCTGTTCTAGGCCTGAAACTACTTATTGGAAGGATATGTGGAGTGTATGATGTAAAGTCATATCTGTAATACGGCTGCCTTCTGCTGAGCCATGTAGAAATTGAAAGAAAAAGAAACCAATCCCTTCATACTCAAAACTTTTGACAAATTAACCACCTGACAAAGAAATGTGAATCAACTGCATATTTAATCACATCTCCATGGAACATCTGCTTCCTAGAGGAAACTAGGAAGAGAAGAGGTACTCCAGACCACACATATAACATTTCATAGGTTTTCTTGTGCCTCTTGACCCATTGAACTTAACTATTTAAATCAATGGTATATTTGCAGCCACAACTTTACCCTTTATCATCCTAAGTGATTCCTAACCACTATTGCCTGAAGTATTCATGAGAGGTGCTGCAGAAAGATCACATGACAGCCGTTAGGTGCTCTAATAATAACAGTCCAACCTATAGTATGTCCCAAATATGAATTCACTTCCACAAGGAATTTCCTACGGAGACAAATTAAAACTCAAATGTTCCTTGCAAGTTCAAGTTCAAAAATTAGAGAATCACCAAATCAGTGTTTTGATCTTGTGAGGTCGATTTGAAAGAAATTGAAATCTGTGTACATTCTCTCAAACCTCCCCTATGCTCAGTGTTAGTTACAGATTCTAGATCATTTGTGGGGGTCAGGGTTCTGTTAACTATAACCATTATCCATAGGAATGGATGTTGTTCATTCTGTGCTTCAGCAGTGAAGTTATTTATATGCCTCACTCACACTGCTTCAAAACATTTAGGATTTTGCAAAAGCAGCAATTTTCATTGAATTGCCTTTGTTCCAAAGGGCTAAGTATACTATATATGTATATGTATATGTATATGTATATGTGTGTGTGTGTGTGTGTGTGTGTGTGTGTGTGTGTGTGTGTGTGCACTTTATTATAGCAGTAACCATTCAAAGAGATCACAGGAGAGGGCTGTTGGCATGGGCCAGGTTCAGTCAGGGGTCACATGACTAATGTAAGTTTACATTTGAAGACTCTTCCTTTCTACTCTCCACTTTGAGCCCCTTGTTGAGGTATTCACATTGAAGTAGTACCAGCAGCTACTAAAGTGACCCATTGCCAGAGTGTCCCACTCTTTATGAGCACACGCTCTCAGCTTCTAGGCAAGAACTCTTCGGGCTGCTGTAGGTTTCTGCCGTCTGCTGGCTTATTTTAGGAAGACTCAATGATTTTGTAACCAGCCCCTGTAATTCTCACATACAGGGCAAGATTACATCATGGGACTTTTCCCAAAATTTGTTCCACATGCGCCTAGAACACTAAAGCTCCCATTGCTTTTGCCTTTACTAAAGTACAAAGACATTTAGTTTTAGGAACTGTGGCCAAGGGAAGAAAGAGGAATGAGGAAAATGGCAGTAGAGCAACCAGAAAAGTACTTGTGCCCACTTGCAAAATTGTCAGCGCCTCTAACAGTGCAGGAAGAGGCAGAAACTACTGGAATTATTCAAGAGGATTGTGTGTGAAACGAAGTTCAAATAGGTTTAGGTCCATGTTTCTTTCTCCTTGCTGATGCCTAGAAGTCTGAACTGTGCTGCTCCTCCAAAGGGTGAAAGCTTCCAAGATATAACAATAGTTTCTCCTGATTATTAGGCAGGTTAAATAGATGAGTAGTACCATCCTCAAGGTTATTTACTATATCATTCAATAAAATAAGCTATTTTGTTGAACTTGAGTTTGCAGATTCAAAAGGGAAGCCCTGGGAACCCGCTGATCCGTTCTAGTCATTCTAGTTATTGCTCAGAACCACAAAATCTGAGTGGGATGGAGGCAGGGGCACTCAAGAGGCCTCTGGTCTCAGATGCCCATTGACCACCTTTAACCTCTTCCCAGCAGGGTGTGATCACTAGATTTAACCTGAACCGAACATGTGAGTTTTGCTGCTCGAATCAGCGGGAAGTCCATTCATACAGAGGTAATTACATAGTGTTGGCAGATCTGCCTTAACATCATAAAAGAAAACAATAGCCATTGGAGTTTGAGTTTAGCTCTGTGACCTGGGGAAGGCATTCCCCTTGGGTACATCCTGGGATGACTTTCTTCCTGACCTCTCTGAGGACTGGGTCCTGCCTCTACCACTATTTAAAGCAAGTTACAGTCTGTAAGCAACTCCTTTAATGACACACCCTTCAGCTGAGCCATTAGCAACACTGTGAGGACTGTTCCCTATGGTCCATACCGGCTGGAGAGCCACTGTCTGGGTTCTGTGAAGATGTTCTGTTGGATCTAAGCCACTCACCTCTTCCAATGCCGCCTTGAACATGGACTCTTCATACATCTTGGGTTCTCGAACAGTACCTGGCGGCAGTAGACTATCTGATAAAGCTACTCCCCAAGTTTCTGATTCAGGCATGGATCTAGCCTTCTCAGGTAACGCTACACCTCTTCTGTACAGGTGTGTGGGGACATGAAAAAAGAACAGGAGAGGACACTCTAGCAGCCTTCCAGCTTGATTACTGCTCTGTGCTCTACCCTGACATGTACTTCTGTAGCATGGAGCATAATAAAAGAAAATGGCAAACCACTGAAACATCAAAGTAACAAGAAATTGAATTTATTTTTACTATGTTTTATTTACATATTGCCATTTTGTGTTACTAATATTAATAAATTATAATTAATTAAATTGTAATGTGTCCATACTAAACAAAACTGCAGTGAAAAAGAATAAAATAAACTTATATGAGCTGACTGAAAATCTCTCCCAGACATATGATTAAGGGACACATTACTACAATTAGGGTGATCAGCTTGTATGCTATGATCCCATTTAATATTTTAATGTGTGAATATGTGTGATGTATTTTAATGTGTGTGTGTGTGTGTGTGTGTGTGTGTGTGTGTGTTTTGAGACAGAGTCTCTCTGTAGCAAAGGATGGACTGGAACTCACTATGTAGTAAAGACTGGCCTCAGATTTACGATTTTCCTGCCCCATCAGGCCAAATGTGTTAAGAATGACTCTCTCTGGAGAGTGTGGGGGAAGGAATATGAATTTCACTTCTTTTTATTTTTTGTGTTTTTTCAGTGGTTTCAAGGTTTAGGGCCAATACAAGAAAAACAATCCCTATACTCTGCAGCACTGATGGGAGAAGAGAAACATGACCCAGAAAAAGGTCTTTTCTGCTCAGGAGCTCTTAAAAGAAAATATAGGATGGGCCCTTGGATAAGAAACGGCACCTTAAGCTTTGAGTTTATTATCTTGGGTTTTGGGGACCTGGCAGAGCTACAGATCTTCTTTTTTGGACTCTTTCTAGTCATGCATCTCATCACTCTAGCGGGGCACACGACGATTGTGCTCATCACCCTCATTGACAGCTGCCTCCAGACTCCCATGTATTTCTTCCTCCGGAACCTGTCCATCATTGAAATTTGTTACATATTAGTCATTGTCCCCAACATGTTGGCTAATTTTCTGTCCAGGAACCAGAAGATGCCGTTTGTGGGCTGTGCCCTGCAAATGCATCTCTTCATTGCCTTGGGTGGGGCAGAGTGTTTCCTCCTAACTGCAATGGCCTACGACCGCTTCGTGGCCATCTGCAACCCTCTGCGCTACACCCTCCTCATCACCAGGATCTTCTGCCTGCAGATGTTGGGTGTGGCCTGTGTCAGTGGCTTTGCATTGTCCCTCACCCTCACCACACTGATATTCCTCTTGCCCTTTTGTCAGTCCCATGTGATAAACCACTTCTTCTGTGACATCCCTGCTGTGCTGTATTTGGCCTGCTCAGACACGCGGGCCAATGAGATTGCCGTTTTCCTTGTTTGCATGCTCATCCTGTTGATTCCCTTTTTGCTGATCCTCTTTTCCTATGGATTCATTATCACTGCTATCCTCAAAATCCGCTCTGCAGAGGGCAGGAGCAAGGCCTTTTCCACCTGTGCTGGCCATCTTCTTGTCTCTGTTCTGCATTATGGCTGTGCAATATTCATTTACATACGCCCCAAGTCCTGCTACACCCCAGAACAGGATAAAATTGTGTCCTTAATCTACACCAACGTAACTCCTATGCTCTACCCTATGATCTACAGTCTGAGAAACAAGGAAGTCAAGGGTGCCCTCAGGAGACTCTTGGCAAGCCACAACCAATGAGGCAGCATCCCAGCTCAGGTTGGAGTGGAAGGCCTGGCCTAACAGGACTAGCCAGTTCATTTTTAACAACCTGCAGTCGTCCCACAGCACAGATGGTGGCTCCAAATTGCCATCTGAGGGGTTTCCATGGCTATAAGTAGATGTGGAACTGTCTGCCCCTGAGGCTGGCAGTACTGAAACTTTTGTGGTTGTTCTGTTTCCTCACGGACAATTCCACTCATCCTCTGGAGCAATGTCAGACACAAACCAAAAGTATGAGATGATCCAAACACAACTTCTCTGACCAAAGAGCCAGGATGCCTAAATGATAAGAATCTCACACATACAAATTGTGTAAAGAGGTGGAAAGCCATCATTTCAGAAGCTACATTCTTGCACCACCAGAAAATAATGTAGATCTAATTTGAGATCCAACAATGCAAAAAGAAACCGGTACTAGCTCAGCAAGTAGTGCTGGGGCCTGAGGCCTGCCCTCACCAAACTCCACTCACACCTTCATCCTCAGTAGGGCATTACAAGAGCTGCCTTACTCCCACTGGGAGTAAGGGGTCAACTCCCTCCTCATCCTTCAAATCTCAGCAAAAGGGCCATTTGCTGTTAAAAGTGCATGCAGACTGCCTCTTCCTGACGCAGCAGGCTGAATGATGTTCCCCTGGTCTCCCATATGTACTTGTATAGCATTAAGTGCTGAACTGGTTTGCGTGCCTCTCTGAGCAGCGTGAAGACCCCTTGAAGGTGAGAAGTATGATTTATCATTTGCACTTCAGCATCTAACACATAACAAGTTCCCAACAAGTAGTCATTGAACTGAATTGTGAGTTCCAGTGAGCTTTGGCATAGTGATACCTTCAGTTGCTAATGGAATAAAAACTTAATATCCTATCTGACTGAAGCTTTTATAGGTATACTGATCATTAGAGAACATTCTCTGACCCCACTGCTACCCCAAAGACTGGACTAAATGCTTCCCTTCACCACAGCAATTAGCAGAAAATATTTGTATTTCTGCGTTAGTGTTTGGTGTTGTCAGATAACTGCTCCACCACTTGAACCATCCTCCCAATCCTCACTTTTCCTTCCCATAATTCATTTTTCAGATAGGGTCCTGTGCTTTTTGCAAATTATTATCTTCCTACCTGTGCCTTCCATGTTGTTGGGACTCTAGGCATGCACCACCATGCTCTGCTATTTTTTTTTTAAATTTTATTTTTACTTATTTTATTTTTTTGGGTCCGGTCGTGGGGCCTGAACTCTGGGCCTGGGCGCTGTCCCTCAGCTCTTCAGCTCAAGGCTAGCGCTCTACCACTTGAGCCACAGCACCACTTCCGGCTTTTTTCTTTTTTCTTATGTGGTGCTGAGGAATCAAACCCAAGGCCTCAGGCATGCAAGGCAAGTGCTCTACCACTGAGCCACCCTCCCAGCCCCTCTGCTATATTTTTTTTTTTTTGAGACAAAATCTCACTGTTTTTTTGCCCAGGCTGGCCTCAAGCTACAATCTACTCATATGTGCCTCCTGCCTAGCTGAGATTACAGATGTGTATCCTCACACCTAGGTTAGCAGAAAATAGTTCTTGAATGAATGAGAACTTCCAGCATATCACATACAGGGCTTGTCAATGGGAATATAGAAAAGTTTAATACAAGGTCTCATTCCTCAAAGAGCTCACAAACCAGTCTGGGGTAATAGGCACTAAAAATTCATTTGAACATGAGTATTACTGGCTATTTATCCATAGAAAGGGGTAAATCATTGCTACCACTAAATCTAGGAATACTCATATGCTGTTAGAACAATCAGGAAGAAATGAACCTGGAGCCTTAATGGATCATTCATTGAGCAAATAAAGACCAAGACCACTTCCCTCTAGAGTTTATGTTCAACCAGCAGCTCATTTCCTTATGAATTGAACTAAAAAAGTATTTCTGCTTCAAATGAGGCATAGAATGAAAAAAAATCCATAAACACCAGCTATTTCCAACCTTGCCTGCTCTTTCGAATTTTCTTCTCCTTCCACTCTGCCACCATGCCCAAGCAATGACCCTGTCCTCCAAGCCAGCAGAGCTCTGCTCTTCAATGGAAGTGAGACTGTGAAGGGCAGGAACCATATGGGTTTGTAGGGAAAATAGTGCTGAATCTCGGCTAATGTAATGCCCCTTCTCAGCAGGCCACCATTTAGTTGTTCTGTGTACTGAGGGTAGGTGCCAGACTGCAGCAAAATGAAATTTCTGGTGAGGATAAGAATGGAGTGTACCCAAATGTTTGTTTGTTCTCTAGGTTTTGTTTGCTTTCCCCCACCTCTCTGCTGAATACCACATAAACTTAGAAGTTCACAAAAATAGAAATTTGCTAGGTGGGGGTATGATGGGAAATGGGAAGGGATTTCCATGAGTGAAGCTGCCCTTAAGCTTCCTAATGCACTGTAAGTAACATTGAATAAACGTATTTAATTTTTGAACTGGACTTGTGAGAGTCTTTCCTTCACGTATGTGCCTCATTCCAATTCATAGATAGTCGCGTAGTTTACATCTTCCTGGGAAAGTCCATAACAGAGACATGAGAGACCCAAAGATGAGATAGGGGAAATACTGGGGTGGCCATCTTTTTCTATGTGGTACATCATCTTGTTGAGTGTGGTATGCCGCAGGAGCACAAGGATACCCTGTAAATACCCAACTGACCAAAGTGTCCACTGCAGTCCTTGAGAATAGTTTGTATGGGATGGAATTGCAAAAGAACTTTGGCTGAGGTTGCATGAACCCTGCTGTTGGTGAGACTGATTTATATGCATGAAACTAACTGCTCACTTGAATGACAAACTCCAGCTGGAAAGAGATATGCAAATAGAATCTTCTACTGTAGCTTCTAACTAAGCAGGAAAATTAGATAAGAGGGGCCCTGTGGAGAAAACAAGGGCTCTGGGTCCAGCCCGCCACTGCTGGGCTCAGTGCTGATTTTCCTGTCCAGCCTAAGACCCCGGTATTACAGAAAAAGTAGCCTTTTGCTGTCTTCCATGTCCTTCTACAGGAACAGTTGCATTTTGTGTCCAAAAACTTAGCTGTAATTATATGGTTAACATATAAAGATTTTGGACTCCATGTATTTTCTCTCCCTTCTGCTTTTTTGCTTATACTAACATCATTTTTGTTTCTCAAGGTCATTTGGATGTTTTGTTATCTTAGGCTGCTCTATTGGAATGGAACATTCTGTAACTCTTAGATTCATGTGAGATCAAGAGGAAAATCATAAGAGTTCTTTTGAAATCTAAGAGATAGTAGAGTGTGCATAAGACTTGCAATAAATAAGAATCATTATTATTTAGCTATGTGTGGACAAATGACTTTGATTTCATTCTGTCATTCTGTATTTTATATTCATTTCTCTTTTAATAGAGTGCTATATTTATTTGTTATACTACTTTGTTTAATAATCATATTGTCAGTATAAAATGTTATGATAAAGAAAGAAGCATGGCAGAAAGGAATCAGAAAGCAAGAAACAAAGTAAAGAAAGTTATGAGTAATCAGGTATGGTGGTTTATACCTGTAATTATAGATACTTGGGAGGCTGAGATTGGGATGATTGTGGTTTGAGGCCAGCCTGGGTAAAAATTCTGTGATATCCCATTGCAACACAAAAAGCTTGGCTTGGTGATCACACTAGTCGCCCCAGCTTTTATGGGAAGCATAAGTAGGGGGATTGCAGTCTAGGCTACCCCAGGAAAAAAAAAGCAAGCCCCTATTTAAAAATAACCAAGGTAAAAAAGCTGGATGGCTCAAGTGATAGAGTACCTGCCTAACGAGCACAAGGCCTGGAGTTCAAACTGTTTACTGCTTAAAAAGAAAAAAAGAGAAATTTTTAATAAAACTCTTTCTGGATAAGAAGATTCTGTAAAAAAAAAAAAAAAAAAGGAAAGGAGGGCTGGGAAGGTGGCTCAGTGGTAGAGCGCTTGCCTTGCATGCATGAGGCCCTGGGTTCGATTCCTCAGCACCACATAAGCAAAAAGAAAAAAAGCCAGAAGTGGCGCTGTGGCTCAAGTGGTAGAGTGCTAGACTTGAGCTGAAGAGCTGAGGGACAGTGCCCAGGACCAGAGTTCAGGCCCCAGAACCGACAAAAAAAAAAAAAAAAAAAAAAAAGGAAAGGAAAAACTCTAATAAATAAAATTCATAATCTCAACATTAAAAAAGAAAAGATTTTGTACAGTAAAATAAGATTCTGTCCTAAAATTAAAAAAGAAGAATGAAAGAAAACGGGGCACAGGCAAAAAGTTAAAAGTGATTTTCAGAAGGAATGTGTCATGCTGGTTTTCTATGGGGTTACAATCAGTGAGAAACTCAGGGCCATCTTGTTAAGGTTTTGGAAGGCTCTAAAGCCTTCCAGCAGTTCACCCAGGCAGAAGAGGTCAAATAAGTCCATGTCATAACTATGTGCCCTCCCCTCCTCTGCAAAAGAAACAGGATCTCATGGGGTGGGGTGGGAATTCTCCTAGAAGCTCTTGGCAGGATGGCCAAGGTTGCCTGCAAGTGAGGGTCATACAGGATTACCAAAAACCCCATATTGAACTGTGAGTGTTGGTCCCTTACTAAAGCAGACCACATGGATACAGGTGGACACTGGGAGCAGTGAGCATTCTAAATTTATGGCAATCTTTCCAAACACATTGGGCAATGGATAGCTACACGTGAGTATGGAGAGAGAACAGTACAAGCACAAAATAGCAATTTATCTTGCGGGTGGGTGCTAATCTTCCCCAGGATTACAGTTTGTACTTCTCCTCTGTAAGAAGAGATACTGAGGTGGATGTGCTTTTGAGACACCCCTTTTATGCCACATTCAGAGAATTTCTTCTGAGGTAATGACATATGATTAAAAGAAATGGGAGCTGGTGAAGCTTTCTGCCCACATGCATTGGTTAATACCAAATAGTATGGTCTTCCTGAGGGTAAGAACTATGGTCTGGCATAAAGGAATTAGAAAAGTTAGAAATCATTTGCCTTGCCCA